GTCTACAGCAAAGGAAAGCCAAGGACAGCTGGAAAACACCAGAAACTAAGACAGACACTCACAGAAGAAATCAACCAGGCTAAGAACTGGACTGTCAGCTTCCAGAACTGTGAGAAAATAAATGTCTGTTCTTTAAAGTCAACCACTTGTGGTATTTCTGTTAAAGCAGCACTAGGAAACTAAGACACTTCTTTTCCCTGCCTCTTCCAACTATTGCTCAAATTACCTCCAAAAAATGTTCTTCCCTCCCTCCAATACCTAGCTTATGAGCTCTTCAGAAATGACCTCAACAAGGAAAACAGTGTAAAAAAGAGTGCCAGTGAGATAGCTCTATCAAAGGGGTAAATTGATTAGGTTATAAAATATAATTAGAGATTCATAATTAAATTCTGAAGATCTTGAAAGTATCCAGAATATTTTCAGAAGTTATCTACCTATCCACCTTCTAATTCTTCTCTATTTAAATCCAAAGGAAAAAAATCCTGATGGTGCAATGGTTAAGCACTCAGTTGCTAACTGAAAGAATGGCAGTTCGAACCCACCAGTGCCTCTGTGAGTGAAGGACTTGGCAATCTGCTCCTGTGAAGATGACAGCCTAGAAAACCCGTTGGTGCAGTTCTACTCTGCCATATAGGGTTGCTATGAGTTGAAATCAACTCGATGGCACCTAACAACAACACTAAGATCTATTTGGACATCAGAAAAAATATATGCATAATTACATGATGATTAATGCTGTTAGGTTTTTATTATTATTATTATTGAATTACTTGTTTGTAAATGTTTAGCTCTCTAGTTTTCACTCTATATTCATTTGGCTCAGGATACTACTTTCTCCTAGTTTTTGTTATACTCTTCTGACCAATTATTTTTATTCTTCTCCATGAGCTCCTCTTCCTCTACCCATTATACAAGTGTTGGCACCTCCCAGATTTAGACCCTCAGCCCACTGAGTTTCCTTACTCTACTTGCTTCCTAGGCATGATTACTTCCTCTGTCACAGAACAAGGGGATACTGCGTGGTTTCAAGTCAGGAAAGGTGTGCGTCAAGATTGTATCCTTTCACCATACTTACTCAATCTGTATGATAAGCAAATAATCCGAGAAGCTGGACTATAGGAAGAAGAACCTGGCATCAGGATTGGAGGAAGGCTCATTAACAACATACGATATGCAGATGATACAACCTTGCTTGCTGAAAGTGAAGAGGAATTGAAGCACTTACTCATGAAGATCAAAGACTACAGCCTTCAGTATGGATTATACCTCAACATAAAGAAATAAAAAGTCCTCACAACTGGGCCAATAAGCAACATCATGATAAACAGAGAAAATTTTGAAGTTGTCAAAGACTTCATTTTACTTGGATCCACGATCAATGCCCATGGAAGCAGCAGTCAAGAAATCAAATGATATATTGCATTGGGCAAATCTGCTGCAAAAGACCTTGTTCAAATGTTAAAACGCAAAGATATCACTTTGAGGACTAAGATGCTCCTGACCCAAGCCATAGTATTTTCAATCACTTCATATGCATGTGAAAGCTGGACAATAAATAAGGAAGACTGAAGGAGAATTGATGCATTTGAATTATGATGTTGGTGAAGAGTAGTGAATATACCATGGACAGCCAGAAAAACAAACAAATCTGTCTCAGAAGTACAGCCAGAATGCTCCTTAGAAGCGAGGATGGCAAGACTTTGTCTCATGTACTTTGGACATGTTATCAGAAGGGACCAGTCCCTGGAGAAGGACATCATGCTTGGTAAAGTAGAGGATCAGCGAAAAAGAGGAAGACCCTCAAGGAGATGGACTGACACAGTGGCTGCAACAATGGGCTCAAGCATAACAACTATTTTGAGGATGGTACAGGAGCAGGCAGTGTTTGGTTCTGTTGTACATGGGGTCACTATGAGTCAGAACCAACTCAACGGTACCTAACAACAGGAACTTGCTTCCTAGGCATAATCACTTCCTCTGTCACAGTTTTAATTTCCAACAATAGGGAGACAACTTTCATATCTTTTTATCTAGTTAAAACTTTTCCCAAGTTTCAGATTTGCACATCCAAAGCCTCCTAGATACCGCTGGCACCAAGAATCTTAAGCTCCAAATCTAAAGCTAATCACTTTCTCCCAATACCTTTTCCTCCTATTCTCTATTTTGGTAGAGCCACCTTTCGCCTAATTACTCCTACTATGGATCTAAGAAACATCCTGGACTCCACCCTCCCCATCCAATTACTAACATCAACATCCAATCCACCTTCAGTCACTAACACAAATTGAGAACTGTCCATCCTAAATATCTCTTCTTTCAATTCCACTACCCCTACCCTGCATTGAGATTCATCACCTGCTGCATCGTTCTCTAAAGTGGTTGCCCTGGTTCTAACTCTGACCCCTTCTATCCATGTTATCACCAAAGGAATCTACCTAGAAGGTACATCTGTCCATAACATTGACCACCTAAAATCCTTCCTTAGTTTATAGTTTGAAGCAAGGGGCCCTCCATGATCTCATCCTGCCTCATAATCTGGGGGCAATCTTGACCCTATCTTCTCTATTTATTCCCCTTTTCTTAAAGTTTGAAAGAAAATCTGTATTTAGAAAGAAATATACTCATAACTTTTGGAGTCTATTTAATAATAATAATAAGGTTCACTGTACCATTACTATCTCTCAGCACTGAGCAACACAGTTAGCCTATATTATCTCATTTAATCCTCACAACTCTAAGAAGGAGGTCTATTTTCATGTCCATTTCACAGATAAGAAAGCTAAAGTCCTTCGAGTCTCAGTAAACTTTCTCAAGGGCATATAGCTAGTACATGGCAGAAGCTCCTGGCTCTATAACCTCCTATTTGGGTGTATGTTTCACAAGAAACTGAGAACCCAGCTGGCCCACAGGACTCAATGACCATAATGTAAAGGGGACAGACATGTGAAAGATGGAAAGAGAAAGGCAAGTTCATGGATAACTATGGCCTGAGGATATCACTTAGGTAAAATAAAATCTGATATTAAATTTTTTCTCAGTATTAAATTTGATCTGAAATTTGATCAACTACATAAACATATATTTACATAAATATGGTATCAATAGAAAGTCCAGAATGTCATAGTTATTACTTATGCCCATAGTGAACCATTTAGAAAATCCTTAATACGATTTATTTTTAAATGAAGTCAAATTTATTTAATATGGCTATCTGTTTGGAGGAGCCCTAGTGATGCAACAGTTAAGTGCTTGGCTGCTAACTGAAAGGTTGGCACTTCAAACCCACCCAGTGGCTCTGAGGGAGAAAGGCCTGGTGATCTGCTTCTGTAAAGATTAACCCAAAACCACTTCCACTGAGTCGATTCCAACTCATACAGACCCCAGAGGATAGAGTAGAGCTGCCCCTAGGAAACTCTATGGGGCAGTTCTACTCTGTAACACAGGGTCACTATGAGTCAAAATGGATTTGACGCCACCTAACAACAACGGCATCTATTTGGTCATCAGAAAAAAATACACGCATAATTAGGTATAGCATTTTATAATCAGGTCCATGTATGTTCAAAAATGAAGGAACACATTTAACTTCTGTCAATTTTCTGCCAGTTACCAGAGCAATTCTGTATTTTTAAAAATACATACAATAACATGCAGTCCTCCAAATTTTATAACAGTTCCGTGAGCCTGCAATTAGTAATAACTCCATACTATCTGTGATCTTAGTATGTTCACTTTCTCCAACACAGGCAAAAGTTTTCAGCCTCAAGAACTGATATGTTCCCACCACTCTATCAGCATCCTCTTGTATACTGGTCATATTCTTTCCTGTTCCCTGCATGGGGGAAAGCCCAGAACCTTCATTAACCCCCTTTCTCAAGGACTTCACTCCAGCAAACAGCTAGCTGCCTTTCTCCTGCGTCTGCAGTTTCTTCCTTGCTGGTGCATCATTTCCAGGACCACGCAAGTGTTTTATTATCTCCACATGAAACAAAACAAAATGAAAGCTCACCTGGTCTCCACATGCCCCTTGCTTCCTTTCATAGTAAAACTTTTCAAAAAAAAAAAAGCTTCTATAATTACTCTCTCCCCTTCTATTCTCTCTTCATCCACCTCAGTGAGGCTACCATCAACTCCACTGCCTGATAACTGCTGGTCAGGTGTCCCACGAATTCTATGACTCCCAATCCAACGATTCCACACACTCTCACTTCCTCCAGGGTCTGCCTGCTACTTAAGCTGCCTCCTGCTGCAGGGCATCTGTATTTTCTGTTCCTTCTGCCAGGCTTGCTATTCCACTGGATATCTGTGCCTGGTTCTCTCTCCTCACTTCTTCCCTCAGGTCTCTGCTCACCTGGTCACTTCCTCAAGCTTCTCAGAGCAACCTTCCTGGACCAATCTGTCCAAAACGGTCCAACCAACCCCCAACTCACCTCCTTTATTCCCTAGTCCCTCAAGCTACATTATTTTTCTTCACAGCTCTTTAACTGACTGATACTAAATTCTGTGTTCACTTGCTTATAGTCTGTCCTCCACCCCGACACACACACAAACACACATCAGAATGTAAGTCTTACGAGAGCAGGAATGCTTGCCTCTTTTTCACCATTAATCCCCAGTAATGGGAAGAGTCCCTGGAACATACTAGATGCTCAGTAAATATGTATTGATTGAATGAATATTATATGCTACTCAATGCTTCAAATTTTAGAGAACTCAAATCTCTTGGTTTTGAAGTAAAACATGCTACTCTTTTAGACATTCTAGTAGAGTCAGGTTTTGATAGCAGCTTCCAAAAAATCAAACCTGTTGCCGTTGAGTCAATGCCAACTCACAGCAACCCTATAGGACAGAGTAGAACTGCCCCATAGGGTTTCCAAGGAATGGCTGGCAGGTGGATTCAAACTGCCAACCTTTTGGTTAGCAGCTGAGCTCTTAATCACTGCATCACCAAGGTTCCTTTGATAGTAGTTTAGGGATAAAGAGAAACATATATCTTTTACCTTCCCGATGTCACTCGAATTTGCTCCTCACAGCTACAATTCAGGCAGTCCATCTTCTCATGGAAGTATTTTTCCACACACTGCTCTTCAAAATGGTGAAGCTTTTTCAAATCTTCATCACTCAGGTATAGTTCTACAGAAATAAGTATGGTACCCAAAAAGAATCATTATTCATTCTTAGTAGGAAGTTGATACAAGGTGTGAGTGACTTTTCTTCCACTTTTGTGGAAAATTATAAACTGTAGCTTGGGTGATCACAGTTTACTGCTTTGTAACACTGTATTCCTACTGTGGATGCAGGAAGGAGCCGTAGGTGGAAACAACTGTAAACACCAGTTTGGTTCTTTCCTACTTGTTCTATAAACAGATGTGGGGATTTAAAAATGTGCTCATGTGGAACAGACACATTCTCTTTAGTATTTTCAAAGGTCACAATGTCTTTACACATTCACACACACACAAAAACATTCACTACATATACGTGCAAATAGGAAAGAACCTGGTTATCTTTCGTTTTTCCCTGGCAACTATTTTAGCCATCCAAATGGCAATAAGTAACCTCTGAATTAAAATCAAGATTAGAAGAAGGCAATGTCTGTTAAATTAATTCAGTAAATGTAAGAAAGTTTTGCCTTTTTACACTGAGTGTGTATAGAAGTCCTTCTATTGAAAAACGAGACGTTAGTATTATTGGTCAATGACCAATCAAAGATATATACCTTGCCTGGTATATTAGCCCATTGAAAAAACATATGATTTTGTGATATTATGAGGCTAATGAAATTCTGTATCAAACTTCACCACTCACATTCACTCTACCACCTAGAGCCCTCACTCTAACCTAAAGAATAATAATACATCATCTTTTGGACAAGTTTCTAATGCTTAGAAAATGTAAAAATAAAATGATGTTGCTAAGAGTAAAATTAGAAATATCTTCCTTCAATAGATTCGCTTGTTAGAAAATAATTACAGTTCTCTAGGATGTATTAAAAATGTAAATGTTTCATTATTTTACAATACATTGAGGAACCATAAAATTAACTGTAAATGAAAATATATTGGCTAAAAGCATATAATATTCAGAAGTAAAATGTGTTAACAATTCAAGTGCACAATGTTTTCTGATTTATATGATATGGAAGAATTTTTCAGATATTAGAAAAGAAAATGCAGTCTCCCCACCCCCTACCCCAACTCTAAATGTCTGTTCACAATGAAGAATCTCATACAAGCCAGAAGCTTTACAACTGACATGATTTGAGCCTTCGGTGGATTCCTGAGAGCAAACTAACCCAAACAGCAGCAATTCCAGTGGCTGGTGCAACTTGCAGGAAGTGGGGCTTTCTTGTGACTAGCCACCTGGTGGCACTGTTGCCCCACATGCAAACGTTTTTATCCTCAATGCAGATGATTGGAAGCAATGTGTCAAAATCAGGAATGTTCAGAGCTCAGGATGAACTTAACTTGAATACACCAGAAAATTTACTCAGGGTGAATTCGTTTCTATACATCAGAAAACTTACCAAAATCATCCTATAAGCCCAGATCAAGGTGAGGCCAGGGAAGATTCTTTGGTACGATGTCAGGAAGTCTGGCCAAATCCTAGTTCGTTCCAGGATCTCTCAAGCATTCACTCTCTGCTAACCAGTTACTCTCAGGTTGATTCTGACTCATGGAGACTCCATGTGTGTCAGATTAAATCTGTGCTTCATAGGCTTTTAAATAACTGATTTTTCAGAAGTACATCACCAGACCTTCCTTCAGGGGCACTTCTGAATGGATTCGAACCTCCAACGTTTCAGTTAGCAGCCAAGAACATTCACTGCTTACAACACCCAAGGACTTCACACTCTACTACTTGGTGGTAATGGTTCTGTCGCTAATGCCTGGCATTCAATTTTAAGCTTTTCCATTCCAAACCACACCCACTGCCATGGAGTTGATTCCAACTCATAGCAACCTTATAGGACAGAACAAAACTGCGCCATACGGTTTCCAAGGAGCACCTGGTGGATTCGAACTGCTGACCTTTTGCTTAGCAGCTATAATTCTTAACCACGGTGCCACCAGGGCTCCTCTCTATTAGAAGGCTAAAATTTACGGTATAATTGTAAGCCTTCAAGTTAACTTCAGTTGCACTTTGGCTCCCTTATAAAGCCTGAATATCTTGGGGAATGGAATGAAAAGACAAATCAATCTTGCAAGTGACTCAAGAGGAGAAAAACACTTCACAGAGCCAACAATCAGGAGCAAAAGCACATCACCCTCTCAACTCTCTCAGTACACTGCCGCAATGGCCTATCCCCAAGGGACTCGCCTGAACATATATTAATAATCCACAGTCTCTTATGTGAAACCCCTGGGGCCAGGTGTGTTTTGGAATTCACAATTTTTCTTTTCTAGTTTTAGAAAGGTAATACAGTGCATACTCCATAAAGGCAGTAAAATGCTTAGCTGGGGGTAGGGCAGTACCCTGTGATCAAAGACTTTATTATTTCTGAAGCAAAATCAATGAATATTCACATCTGGGATAAAGAGAATAAATGATCTCACATCAGTTCCTGTCACACTCTTCTGCCCAAAGGTATCTTCCCCCAAGTGACTAAGGAAAGAACTATTCAGTTTTCAGAGGTGTTATGACTGAATTGTGTCCCCAAAAATGTGTGTCAACTTGGCTAAGCCATGATTTCCAGTATTGTGTGATTGTCCACCATTTTGTCATGTGATGTGATTTTTCTGTGTGTTGTAAATCCTACCTCTATGAGATCAAGGTGAGCCTCTATGATATTAATGAGGCAGGATTAGAGGCAGTTAATGTTAACAAGGCAGGACTCAGTCTGCAAGATTAGGTTGTAACTTGAGTCAATCTTTTTTGAGAGGTAAAAGAGAGAAGCAAGCAGAAAGATAGGGGGACCTCATACTACCAAGAAAGAAGTGCCAGGGGTAGAGCACATCCTTTGAACCTAGGGTCCCTGAGTTGAGAAGCTCCTAGACTAGGGGAAGATTGATGACAAGGATCTTCCTCCAGAGCTGACAGAGAGAGAAAGCCTTCCCCTGGAGCTGGCACCCTGAATTCAGACTTCTAGCCTCCTAGACTGTGACAGAATAAATTTCTCTTTGTTAAAGCCATCCACTTGTGGTATTTCTGTCACAGCAGCACTAGATAACTAAAACAAGAGGTTTTTTGCATATAGGAATAGGGATAAAGATTTATGCATCTTATTTCCTCTATATCTAGGAATTACCTGACGGGCCTGGTAACATCTGTGGAATTGCTTGATAGAACTACAGAAGATCTGCAAAAATACAATAAGCAGTGTTCTCTTATGATTATTATATGATAGTCATATTATGCAGTCAAGATTTGGCTAAGCAAGATGAATTAGGAAAACCTCCAAATATGTAGACTTAAGCTTTGCTTAAAAAAAAAGGAAGAAGAAGAAAAAGTTGAAGTCTTAAAAAATATGAAACATCCACTTCTGAATTACCTCCATACTCACATACTCAGTAGATTAGAAACCAGAGAAGTATGACTCCAGTTAATAAGTTAAGCAAAACCTTGCTTATCTGTTTCCCTTAGACCCCAAGTCCTTCTCTAATTGCTTACTATTTGAATTCCACCTTCAACAACAGGGAAATGAGTACACATCACTGAGATTACTCTCTAGGAGTTATTCTGACAAGTTCTTTGGGTCAGCAGAGAACAACATAGGTTTCTCAGGTGGCATAAGCCCTTTATACACTCAAGCAGAGTTTCTGTTGCTACCTATACTTTTCTTCCAAAGAATTAGGTAATCTTGGCCAAAGTGCTACTACCACATAATGAGATCAATGTATTTACTTAGACCCAGATCCACCACTTGTCTGCCAATTTGTCATATTGTGGTGGCTTGCATGTTGCTATGATGCTGGAAGCTATGCCACTGGTATTTCAAATGCCTGCAAGGTCACCCTTGGTGGACAAGTTTCAGTGGAGCTTCCAGACTAAGGCAGACTAGGAAGAAAGGGCTGGTGACCTACTTGTGAAAATTAGTTAATTAGAACCCTGTGGATCACAACAGAATACTATCCGATATTGTGCTGAAAAATGAGCCCCCTAGACTGGAAGGTACTACACTATAGCCTCAACATTGGACTCAAACATACCAATAATCATGAGGATGGTGCAGGCCCTGGCAATGTTTCATTCTGTTATCCATAAGGTTGCCATGAGTCGCAGCTGACTCTACAACAACTCACAACAACAGAGCATCAGCTGATATTCTATTGTCAAATGGCTTCCAGAGCCTTCCATCTTGTGCCATGAATTTTATTTACAATTCTCCAGTGTCTTCACTTTGAATTTTCACTCTTTACTCTCTCCCTCCTGCCCCACCAATAAAAACTTACTTAGTCCAACGTCTCCCTCTTCTTGGTCATTTGGAGCTTGATGACAGCAAAGGTGGCGGACGAGGAGGCCAATGTGACTCAGTAGGATAAAAGGCGGAGGCAGCCAAGGTTTCTCGTGGTAGGTCATGATGTAGCGATAGCGATTGTATTTCCACAGTTTATCTGACATGGATTTCATATCTAAGTAAACGTTGCTGTAAGTTGTAGTTAGAGAGTGTCAGTGTTATAATACAGAATCCTGAGACACAGTAGTTAGATTCTTCCTTTATTTTCCAACTTTTAGGATTGGGTCATTTGACATTACCACGCAGATAGCCAATGAAAATTAGTAATACCCACTGGGTTTACAATTTTTCTTCCACCAAACAAAATGCATGAATCACCTTCTACAAAGAAATATGCTAATCAGAATAATGAGAAAGGCAGAAATTACTCTTAGAGAGAAAAAAATGCTAACTTTTTAAATGCAATGAATAGAAACTTCCCTCTGGAACTCAGCCCTATTCTTGGCTCACCATCTCTTCCTCAGAAAAGAAGCTCATTTTCACAAATTCATCCTTCACAGTAAACAGCTTTAGTATCCATCTATATTATCAACCTTGTGACGTTATATTGTCAAATTAAACACCCAAACAAAGCAGTATTAATGAAGAAGAGACAAAGAAGATAAATCAATTCATCCTCAAATAAATCAATAAACAGAGTGTCTATTTAGAAGCTAGATAAATTATTTAGACTAACTTTACAATAAAGGAAATCCCGCTGGTGTAGTGGTTAAGAGCTATAGCTGCTAAACAGCAATTGGAATCCACCAGGCGCTCCTTGGAAACCCTATATGGCAGTTCTATTCTGTCCTTTAGGGTCGCTATGAGTTGGAATCGACTCAGTGGCAACAGGTTTTCTGGGTTTTACAATAAAAGTAACCCCTGATTAACAGGCATACTGAGCATTATAGCAATATATGTTTCAGCAAGCCCTCCAAGTGATTCTCTGCACGTTAAAGCCTGGGAACCACTTGATTATATACTTTTGTCCCTTCAAGTGTGATTACAGGCTGCTCACCAGCAGGTGGCACTCTTCACGGTGTATTTTTAATTGTTGGTATAAAGAATTCAGTCTGTAAAGAGTCCCTGGACAAGTAGTCAGATTTAGGGTCCCCCTGTTTGGTTCTCAATGTGCTTATCTCTAAAGTGAAAAGACTGGCCTGTGTGAGGATTTCTCATCCCCGCTTTTGACACCTGACTTTTCTTGAGAAACAAACATCACACACTCTCTCTTATTATTCGAAATATCAAAAAAAAAAAAAAAGCTGAAAAATCAAAAACAATAACTGAACACTAATAAAAGTTATAAATTCATAAAATATTAGGGATAAGAGAGATGATACATATCATACAATCTTGCAACAAGTAGGAAGGTATGTCCTCCCCACATATACAGCAACGCAACAATCGTATTTTAAGTGTTCTGATTTCTTTTGCCTCCCTCCAGCCCTTACTTCTCTACTTTCTTCACTTAGATCCATGCTTTAATATTCCCTTTTCTTATCTTTCACTCTTCACTGATACAATCAATGAACAGATGTCTTGCACAGTGCCCGGCATGTAAGGAACATTCAGAAAATTCTAGTTTCTGCCCACTTGATTCCTTTCATCCATTAAACAAATATGGGCCCACACTCTTTCTGGTACTGAGAATAAATTCATGAGCAACAAAAGAGAAAAATACTTGTTGGAGTGGAGTTTACATTTGCCATGGATTGAACTGTGTCCCCCAAAAATATCTGTCAAATCAGCTGGTTCACGATTCCCAGTGTTGTATGATTGTGTACCATTTTGTAATCTGATGTGATTTCCTTATGTGTTGTAAACTCACTATGATATAATAAGATGGATTAGCGGCAGTAATACTGATGAGGTATACAAGATTGGATAGTATCTTAAGCCAATCTCTTTTGAGATATAAAGGAGAGAAGTGAGCAGAGACACATGGGAACTTCATACACCAAGAGAGCAGTGCCGGGAACAGAGCACGTCCTTTGGACCTGAGGTTCCTGTGCAGAGAAGCTCCCAGACCAAGGGAAGGCTGATGACAAGGACCTTCCTCCTGAGCCGACAGAGAAAGCCTTCCCCTGGAGCTGACACCCTGAATTTGGACTTGTAACCTACTAGACTGTGTGAGAATAAACTTCTCTTTGTTAAAGCCATCCACTTGTGGTATTTCTGTTATAACAGCACTAGATGACCAAGACCACATTCCAGTAGAGAAGCCAGATAAACAGAAAAACACAATGTATAAATAAATTATAAAATATATTTGTATATACAATATAAGTGGGTATAAATTTTTTTAAAAAGTAAAGGAGATGAGGCATGCCAAGGAGATTGCAGGGGCATACCAAGGAGATTTCAGGAGGAAAGAGAGCTGCACTTTTTAAATTCAGCCTTAAGATTAAGCATAATTAGAAAGAGGACATTTGAGCAAAGACTTGAAGGGGTAAGAGGATGAGCCACACTAGTATCAGGAGGATAAGCATTCCAAGCAGAGGGAACAGCAAGTGCAAATGCACCTGTGTTGTTTGAAAACTTATGAGGGGCCAGTGTGGTTGGAGAAGAATAAGTGAGGGGAAAAATAATATGATGCATGATTTGAGAAGTAGCAGCAAAGCCAAATCACATAAGGTCCTACAGTCATTATAGAAACACTGGCTATTACCCAAAGGGAAATGGGGAGCCATGGAAGGGTTTCGAGCAGAGAAGTGACATTATCTGGTATAAGTTTTTAAAGGGTCATTCGAGTAACTTTGTTGAGAAAAGAATATAGGCGCCAAAGACAGAAGCAGGGAAATAAGTCAGGAGGCTCTATGGTAGTAGTGGAGTGGTTAGGGATAGTGGGATTGGTGGTCTACTTTGAAGGTGAACTAAATAGGAGTTCCTGACAGTTTAAGAGGTTAGAGGTGTAAGAGGCATCAAGAATGACCCCCAAGGTTTTTGGTCTGAACAACTGGAAAGATGGAGTTGCCACAGATACTCATGGTCTTCCCCGTAGGTTTGGAAAAGATTACAAACAGAAATAGGGAAATAGGGAGAATCAAGAATTCCATTTTGGACACTGTAAATTTGAAAATCTATTACACATTCTACTAGAGATGCAAGGGGGCAGATAGATCTACAAGACTAGAGCTTAAGAAAGAGATCTGGAGTGGAGATATAAATAGGTTTGGCAGCATTTGTCAGCATATACAGGAAACAAAGAGATCATCAAAAAAGTATAAATAGAAGAAGAACAAAGTCTGAGCCCAGGAACATGCCAGCGTTCAAAGGTTGAGAAGATGACAATCCATCAAAGGAGACTGAGAAAAAGTGAAAAGTGAGACAGAACAAAAGTGAGATAAACTGGAGAACAAGGGAAGAAAGTTATCAAGAACTCCTTAGCCAACTTTCAACTCCATCAACTGGATTCTTCCATGATTTTAGGTTATCACTTAATTATTCTAATTTATTGCTTAATTACAACTCATGATCTTCTTTTATTGCACCTTTATTCTAGTTTCTCTCCATTCATTGCTTTTTTCTTTCCATTCTCTGCTTCCATCCTGCCAATACTTGCATGCCCATATTTAAAAATCACAATGACAAAAACATGGACTACACATAAACAAAAGGGTACATTCTCAGAATACCTGTAAATCTACTCAAAATATCTGTCCCCATTTTGATTTAAATAGAATAACTTACTTGAAGAAAGCAATCAACAGGTTCACCATGATGATATATTGCACGAAGAGGTAGACAGCTTGAAGGACTGGAGTAAGAAAAGAACCAGGGGGGCATGATGTATTGCTCTCACAAACTGCAAAGAAAGAATTTTTAAAAAATAAAGGATAAGATAAATTACAGTCCTGTGACTCTGGACAAACATTTAGCACATTAGTTTTGTAGAATACCACAAATATTTGACATTTCTAGCATTCAGATTATGATTTTTCCAGATTTTTTAAAAATTTTGAGTATCTACAAAGGTTCAATTTCTACATGATGGCAACTCCCATATTGTTGTTGTTAGCTGCTGTCAAGTTGGCCCCCAACTCATGGTGACCCCACGCACAACAGGATCAAACTATTTTCATAGGCTGACTTTTTCAGAAGTAGATCACCAGGCCTTTCTTCCTAGTCTGTCTTAGTCTGGGAGCTCCACTGAAACCTGTTCAACATTACAGGAACACACAAGCCTCCACTAATTATAGATGAGTGGTCGCTGTGCTTGAGGTGCCTTGGCTGGGAATCAAACCTAGCTTTCCCACATGGAAGGCAAGAATTCTATCACTGAACCACCACTGCCCCAGCAAATCCCATACATACCATCTATCTCTGAAGCATAGACTTCTCCATATATCATCCAGTATGGTTGAAATACAATATCTCGAGCTAGCTTCCAGGATGGAGGCTCCTTTGGAGAAAGAATGGCCTTGCGTGCCACTCCAAAGCTCAGCAGGACTATGGCCATCATGATCACAATGTAGAACATGTTTGCTGCCTACAAAATAGCACAGCACAAGGAGAATTTTACCAGAGTTGAAATTTAAAACAATTTAATGAGCTTCTCTACATTTCTCTTCTTCTCTTCCATTAGACTGGGGCTGTGTGACCTATTCTAGCCAATGGGCTATGGACTGATAGTGATTTCTGTCACTTCCTGTCTCATTGGACTCTCTCATCCTTCTCATTTCCCACCATAGGAGAACTTGGAAGCCACATGTTGACATGGCTAGATCACAGGATGGAGGGATTCTGGATCCTTAAGTGACTAGGAAGGACTCCCTAGCTGGCGCAAGCAGTTAAACACGTGACTACTAATCAAAAGGTTGGCGGTTTGAACCCACCCAGGGGTGCCCTGGAAGAAAGGGCCTGGCGATTTGCCTCTGAAAGTTCACAGCCTTAAAAACCCTATAGAGTTCTCATCAAACTGTGTGTGAAGGAGCAATAAAGTTGTGTTAAATCACTGAGGAGTATCAGTTACCTCAGCACACACTATCTAACAAATACCAATGTCATCAAGACCAGAGAAAACATTTCTGGTCTAAGAGAGAAGTGTAAAATAAGAACATCTGTCTTTGGGGTCCTGGAGGTTCTCTCTTCTGTGTCCTCTTCCCTGTTTTGAGCACTACCCTTCATTCTCAAAAACTTGCCGCTTCCCAGTCAGTGAATATTCTAGAAGGAAAAGCCACAGAGGAGTGTGAGATTCTGTACTTCCTATAGCATAGGTCTTAGGCCCTCATGTAAGACCGGATGGAGAAGGCTGACACAATGGCAGAACCTCAGATGACAGACTGGAGCCAGGTGGCTCCCCTACATATGCTCTTGGGAATTCACTTAAATTCCATTTCCTTGTATGTAAACTGTGGATAATAATAGGACCCATCTTATAAAAATATTATGGAGATTAAATGAAGAAACGTATACAAAGTACCTAGAACAGTGTGTGGCCCATAGTAAGCACTATATAAGAGCTTTCCTTAGGGGGGTGGGGAGGAGCAAAAGAAAAAGAAATAAATCAGTATTTCAGCAGAAAATATATTGATAGTTATTGAGGGTCACAAACTCTGGCTCTTGGGAATTACTGTGCTCAGAGTCAAATCTGGTTTAATCCCATATTGTTATTGATAGTTGCCATCAAGTCAGCCCCCAGCTCGTGGCGACTCCATACACGATGGGATAGAACTGTCGTGATCCATAGGGTTTTCATAGGCTGATTTTTCGGAAGTAGATCGTCAGGCCTTTCTTCCTAGTCCACCTTAGTCTGGAAGCTCCACCGAAACCTGTTCAGCATCACAGCAACACGAAAGCCTCCACTGACAACTGGCGACTGCGCTTGAGGTGCCAGGAACCAAACCCGAGTCTCATGTATAGAAGGCAAGAATTCTACCACTGAACCACCACTGCCCCTGAATTCCATATTCCCTGGCCCTAAAAAAAGGTGAGCTGAGTATCCTGATCAACTATCTAATACGCTATCCAAAGACATCTGTTAAATATTAACTTGTGGTTATAAGGAAAGTACTGATAAAAAAGACCTTCTGTCTGTGCTTCCATAAATAATTCCAGAAGTTAAACCATTGGATGCTAACCATATCAGGCATAACCACTGAAAAGCACACCAGAATACAAAATCAGACTCACTTACCATTTTTGCCATCATGGTCAGATATGGACCTGCATGTTGATTCACAGCAAGGAAGTCCAGGAGCTTCGTGTACCAGAATATGATGTCTATGCAGTAGATAAGTCTTCCTGCTGTGTGCAAAGGAGAGTCACGCAATCGAAGGCCAAAACCAACTGAAAACAGGACAATGGCCACAGTTTCCATTAGGTTCCAGTACTCACTAATCCATACCTTCACCTTTTGAGTAAATTTCCCAGGCCCTGAAATACAGATCTAAAAGAAGAAAGAAAGGGAGAAACATGAAGGATGGGGTATAACCTAAGAGTCTCAGCAATACTATTCTTCAATACATCAACCCTTCATTTAGAGAGTAATTTGAATTCTGCCAAACCTTAGATCACATGAAAATTTTAGAGGCTTTGGTTATCCTCAGGTAATGAATTATTTCAATAATTCTATAAATATATTTTAATGTCACTGTTGATGCCATCCAGCCACTTGAAAACTCAACCAGAAGTCCAAACAAACAAAAAAAAAACAGGTAGTTTTTCTACCTTTCATTAATCCTAAACTACAAAGGGGAACATCAAGACATTTTAAAACGTTCAACTTTGCAATGAGCCTATTTGGTGACAATTCCACTTCATGAGGCATAACAGAGGATGCAAAGATGGAAACCAAGGAATTCAGTAATCTAGCCCTAATACTGGTATCTAGTGAATTGCTGACAAATTACTAAGAACATGATATTGGAACTCCCGATTGTAAGAAATTACCCCTGCAAAAGATTATCTGACAAACTGAAATGTAAAATTAGTAACCCTATTTTCTCTGAAGCATTAAGAAATGGGAGAATTCAGATAACAATTCTCTCCTGAATTTTCTTGAATCTATAAAGTCCACAATAGTAAGTAGCAGGCAATATACTTATAATAATAAGACTACATTTACTTAGTAAATAATGTTTGTCACATTTAGCTCTGCGACAAAATAAATGTACATAAGCACATAGACACAGAAAGACATCTACGTTGACGTCTAAAGCAGTTTAAGTCATAATTGTATGTGATTGCAGTTATAACTGCATGGGAGTGTTAATTTTTTTTTAAGTGACTCATTGCAAACTAGAAATGAGAATTTTGTTTTGTGTCTCAGATGACTTGTGCTAAAGGGATTTTCAGTTGCAATTTTCAAAGCTGTTTAGCAGATCTTTCAAGGGCAATAGATGAAGTCTGCATATATTGCACAACTTTGGCCATTTTTGTGCCAGTCTGTGAGATGAAACTGATAATACGTTAATGCTAAGCTATAAAAATCAGTCCCATCAAAACAACACTTCTGGAAAATCAAATAGTTGGAGGGTCTGCTGATAATTAGATGACATCACATATCACTCTAGGACTGATAAGCATATTAAGATGTCTCCTCTGAAGATGCCTAATAAACTACTAATAAATTAAGACATCTTCTAAGCTGTTTCCAAAGATCAGTAACTAGTAGACAGTATCTGGCAAGGATAAAGAGTTGAGATCGGGGATTTTCCCCCAAATAACCTTCCCGTATCATGCAACGGACTCAAGCATACCAATGATCGTGAAGATGGTGCAGGACCAGGCAACATTTCGTTCTGTTGTACTTGGTGTCATCAGAAGCTGGAGTCAACTCCACAGCAACTAACAACATCCTCACGCAAATCAGGATTAGCACTTCCAGTCTCACCCCCACCCTTGACCTGTTGATTTTCATCGAGGGACAACTCACCTCCCTGACTTTCTCAATGGCATTGGTGAAGATGTAAATGATAACAAGCCACTCTTGCATGCTGGGCTTGGACCGCATCTCTACCAACACAGTGTAAGTGAACAGCATGAGGAATGCCAAATAAGCCATCTGTGAGGGGGATACACACACATTCCCTGGGTGTGAGTGAGTAATAATGGAGAATGCCAAGCAGACACAGAGCAAACTGAGCAGAAACACACATGCACTTCAGTACGATCACATGAAAGTATAACTAGGAGCACCCTCTGATTATGGATGATCTAACATCAAGGAAAGCACAAGAATCCATGGATTTCTAGTCTAGAATTTAATGGCAGGAATGAAGATTATTGCCTCATCCTGTTGACTCCTGACCAGAATGTCCAGAACCCAACATCGGCACTGGTAGGCTAACCATAAACCAAGGAGGAATCATGGGCCTTTCCTTCCATTTTAAACATAGACAATGCCTGTGCCAAGTATGCCAGACAAGCAGTCTCAGTAGGTGTATATTTTCAAATACAACTATTGCTGGAAATTTTACGTTGATTAAAATATTCTGGTTAATAGAAAAGTTTTGCCCAACTATCAGGCCCTCGTAGTTAAAGACTGTTGGTTGATATTTTTATCTTCAGCACTCAGTACTCTGCCTGACACAAGGTAGACATTCAATAAATATTTGTTTAGTTACTAACTGTGTATATAATACCTAGATTTCCAATTTCTCAAAGAATTAAAACACACTACACACACACGTATACATAGTGACTAATAGTTTTGTAACCTTGTCTTATTTTATCTTCTTAAGATATATTCTCAGAAGTAGAATAGCTGGGTACACACATTGAAAACTGTGATATATATTACTAAATTGTCACCAGAAAGGCATTACTTAATTTGTATTATCACCAACAATGCATGAGATGGGTGCATTCCTTTAAATAGCTTCAGACAACACATAGGACTCACTGATCAGCACGTGTGTTAAAAATCCCAGATCAGTAGAGAGAAAAGTGTGTTTGTATGTGCGTGCGTGTGTGTCCAACCCTCACAAGAATCATATTATTTTAACCTTGATCCTATTTGTCGTATCTTTTTGAACTCTACCCCCGTTTGAGAAATCCGCTTCTTGATAAGTTTGTTTAGTTCCGCACAGATAACATAGGGAATTGCTTTAGCCATTTCTGATTATACAGTCATGTTATTACATACAATTGATGGTATTTCAGGCAATCACAGTAGATATCACTTCCTATGAATTACTGAGCTGTAGTAGGAAAGCAAATAAGAATGTTAACGTGCGTTTCATTCATCCTACCCTTCTCTTGGCCTGTGTCTCACAGTCTGAGTATTTTTGATGACTCCTAGACAGATAATTTAAACAAGTTTGTTCTATCAAGCAGTCCATTTTGACATTTTTCTGTCTTCATGGTGACCATACAAGTCACTCCTTAACTTGTACTCCGATATATATCCTAGGCCCTTCATCCATTTGTCTGTACTTCTTTCATTATTTATATTTTGTGATTCCTTGCCTTGTATTAGAATCATTTATATACGTAAACATTCTCCCCTACCAGACCATAAGCTGCTTGAGGACGGGATCTATGTTTTCCCCTCTCTGCTTCCCACCTCATCAGCACAGAATTCCATGTCTTACAGATGGTAGTGATTGCTCAGTAAAAACTATTGCATGGCTTGAACCTTATGTAATCTTCAGCCATAATGCTTTCTTTCTAATGTAGATAATGCATAACTATATTAACGTGACACATTTCTAAGCAAAGACCACAAACTTATTCAATAAATGATCTCCTTGACAAACAAGCAAAAGTTCCTTTACTTGCGAGCAGGTTGGGTTACTAAAGACTGTTTTAAGTTGATCTGTTCACTACTCCGAGAAGTCCTGGTGGCTCAGTGGTTAAGCGCTTGGTTGCTAACTAGAAGAGCGGTGGTTCAAACCGACCAGTCTCTCCATAGGAGAAAAACGTGGCAGTCTGCTTCCATAAAGATTACAGCCTTGGAAACCCTATGGGGCAATTCTACTCTGTTTTGTACGGTTGCTATGAGTCAGAATCGACATGACAGCAAAGCTACAAGCAACCTAGGTAAGCCTAGGTGTTCATATCTAGGTAAAATTAAGCATCACAAAAACACTGTAAATATTGGTGGTTGCTTCTTAGTCTTTTTGTTTCTTTCCAATTCTTAAAAACTTGATCCGAAAATGTTTATATTTTTGCTTTTTCACCATTAATATATTCCTAACAAGACGCTGCTTCTATAAAGCACACATGCCATACTCTAGCAATGGGATAGCTGACATTAAAATGCCGGGGCTCACTGCTAACACCATGTGTTAGGGTGGGCAGATTTGGCTGGCTTTGTTCTATTGCTTAGCTTTGCTCCTCTCCCTAAAAGTTCATAAGCTGGAAATCTCTAAGGAAATAAATACTTAAATACTTTTTCCTCAGTGATGTGACGTGGTTAAAATTCTTTTGGAGCTACTGTCAGAGTCTCTGGATATTTGGTTGCATATTTACAAAAGTGGTAAAACCTAATCATATGAAGTTAGATCTGGTTTTTTGGAAATAGATTTTTTAATTCAGAGCTATGTACTTATTAAACAAGTACATGAAATAAGTGTACAGTTGGCCAAGTAAATATGAACACATATAGATAAGTATCTTTTATAGTCATACTTCAGATGTTTTAGAAATATAAAATCTTGACCATGAGCAATTTAAGTGCAGATAAGCATTAGCAAAATAAATCCTTCTTAAATAAATGTGAAAAGCACCCAGTACATTTAAAGCACAGTGCAGGCTTTCTCTGTATCCCTACTGTTCATAATAGATTTAATATTTGTTCACACAGACCTCTAAAAGTTTTACTGTCCTCTATTTATAAGCATATGCTATTGAAAATAAAGCAAGCACTAGCTTTTATATATATATAACACATTATTTCTACAACAAAAAAGTTGATTCAACTGCTGATTTCTTGACCAAGTTGGGAAAAGAATCCACCCACCTATGACTTAATCCTCAAACACTTGTTAATTGTATTGTTCCACAAAGCTTCAAATGCTCAGTCCCAGCTGGGCTAACACTAAGTACTCCAACAAAGAAGAAAATACTTGTTCTTTCACTCTCAAAGTAGGAGATCTTCCACTCTATACTTTCTGCTTCTTCCTCCAATCCTTTTTCTACCTCCTTTCTCATCCTTTCCAATTTTTTTTTTACTACGCCTCTATATTTTTAATCACAAATTGGAAAATCAATGATATCATTACCAACATTATCATTAATTGTCATTAATACTGTATATAATCATCGCAATAAGACCAACCGTATGAAACCAAAACTTGACGATCGGAGCACTGTAGAACTCGTAGAACTTCCTGGTCCATGGGAGGCTTTGGGGTTCACTCTTTAAATCAAAGTGTCTATTTTCATCTAGTTTCTTATCTGTGCCCCTTTCCACATCAGAGACTTTCTGCAAAATAAAATAATCTTTTACTGTCAGGGGCTTAAATATCGACAGGTACAAACATCCTGAAATACAATAAATAATACATTAGAAAGGAATTGAGCACTCACTAGCCAAATTAGACTCTTAGCCTTGAAGGGAGAGAAAATTTCACGTATTATATAAATCTTTGACTGGGTAGGAAGCACAGGGTATTTCTGTAGTGTAAACTGAGTCTCCAAAAATCGAACCTAATCAAACCAACAGTAATCCTCAAGATTTAAAAGTGGTCCCTGTCCCTGTTGTGCTTAATCTCCTTTATCAGTAACTTTGGAACCTACTGATAGTCATAAAATCCCAGTGAAATCAATAGTGGATGATACAATTATTTCCATAATACAGGAGAAAAAAATGAATGCCAACTAATGATGCATCTTTTCAGAGTCATAGGAAAGCTGGGCACAGCATTAATGTCAGGATTGTAGCTTTTGATAGTTTCTCCATTGGTTTATAGCAGAGGTTCTTTACCTTTAGTCCATGGACTCTGTGAGCTTCTGGAGTTCCTTGACCCTCTTGCCACTATATGTAAGTTTTGTGTGTACATGCATTTTTCTAGAGAAAGAATCAAATCCTCCATAACTCAAAACTTATGTGTGTCGTGTGTAGTAGTAAAGAATTTGTTAGCTGCCATCAAGTTGGCCTCTGACTCATGGAGACCTCATGCACAACAGGACCAAACTGTTGTGAACCATAGGGTTTTCACTGGCTGATTTTTGGAAGTAAATCACCAGGTCTTTCTTCTTAGTCTGTCTTAGTATGGAATCTCTGCTGAAACATGTTCAGCATCGTAGCAAGACACAACCCTCCACTCACAGATGGGTAGAGGCTGTGCTTGAGATGCTCTGGCTGAGAATCAAACCCAGATCTCCCATGTGGGGAAAAAGAAAAAAACTAAACCCATTGCCTTCAAGTCGATTCCAATTCATAGTGACCCTATAGGACAGAGTAGAACTGCCCCACAGAGTTTCTAAGGAACAGTTGGTGGATTCAAACTGCCGACCTTTTGGTTAGCAGCCGAGCTCTTAACCACTGTGTCACCAGGGCTCCTGAGCCTTAGTGTCAAGTCTTTATTGAAGCTCTGTGGTTGACTTCCTTTGTGGCTGACATCAGTCTCCAGTCCCTCAAGAGGTATCAGTTCCTATGATACCACTGGACTCAAATCCTCCACCATAAATCACATTGTTAGACTTTCTCGGGTAGTCCAAGGCCCCCATGTAAACAAAGACACTCTTATCAGGCAGGACACTCTAAGTGTTTAGAAATTACCTGCCAAAGGCCAAAAGCGAAAGCCAGACATATCTATGGGCAGGGTTGAATTCTTTACTAAAGGGAAGTGGTGGTTCAGTGGTAGAATTCTCACCTCCTAGGCAGATAATTTCTCTTTTTGGCTGATTTTAATCTGTATCCTCTACATACGCCTCTTCCCTTGGCTGATTTTAATCTGTATCCTTTAGCTATGATAAATCATAACCATGAGAATAACAGTTTTCGGTGAGTTCTGCGAGTCCTTCCAGCAAATTATCAAACCTAAGAGTAGTCTTAGGGACCCTAGAACTTGCAATTGGTGCCAGAAGGGAGGGTGGTCTTGTAGGCTGTGCCCTCTAGCTTCGAATTATGTGTCAGGCAAACAGTTTAGCCCTTGTAGGTAATGTGTAATGAGTAGCTTTGGGATGAGCAGAGGTTGCATGAATACAACTATACGAGTGACCACACAGAAGAGAATTTAAAAGGAGGAAACAAAAAAGAAAAGAAAAGATCTTGTTGCCTGTTCCCTTTGAGAAGGGGGAATTTAAGGGTGCTGAAAGGAAAGCAAAAGAGATTTTGCCCTACTTGATAGATTTCTGTGTGGTTTTAATTTTTTAATGGAAAATGCATTACTTTTGTAATTTTTGAAAAGTAGTATTAGAAGAAAATAAAGAAATGTTCTCTGCTGTCCCAAAGACTAGTACATTTCTCTAGCCTATCAACAAAACATTTCTCTCTAATGTCAGATCAGCAAGATCAGCAAGATTTTTCAAGCCAAGGAATGAATCAAATTTTGCTTGAATTGTCCATATAGTTACAGGAAAATGTGATTTTTGTGGCCTCAGCATCTAGATGGGTTATCTGCAGTACCTAATTGATTGTTCAGTCATTCGCGTCACATCAGCCAGTGGGACGGGGGTTGTGACTTAGAGGTGTAGGAACTGACCCCATTCCTAACAGGTTTGAGCCAGCCTAGAGTTAAAATGGCTTAAAACCTATTAGAAAAGTCATCTTAATGACATCTATGCACCACTCAGAAAGACTCCAGAAAGTAATTTAAGTAACTTGTTATTAAATAACCTTGTTATTAAATAACTTCTTTACTGCTTTCTCTAGGAGTGTTTCATTAGGTCTTGGTTACTCTGGACAGTTTGGTATAGATTATGAATGTTCATTCAGCCCAATTCTGAGTTTCATTCAAAGACACCAACTCCACGATGAAGACAATGTGGAAATATAAATTCAGATTCAGGACTTTTGCTTTTTTCCTTGAAAGAAGGCAAGGGCGAGACTTCCAGCAAAATGGTGCTCTAGGCAGAAGCACCATGCTGTCCCTCCACAGCAAAGATCCAAAAAACTAAGCCGAACAGAGAAAACAACAATCCTGAAACCCCAAAACATCAAATGAAGAGATAAACAACTCAGCCAAGCACCAAATGGAGTGAGAAAACTGACAGAGAACAGAGAGCGAGGAGAGATTCATGCAGAGGTCTCCTACCAGATAACGCAGCGCGGATCCACCATCTTGGACTCCTATCGGAGACCAGCAAACAGGGGGTACGAGAAAGCAGCTTCATGAAGCTTCCAGCGGGAGACAAAACAACCGGTAATTTGCAATATACGCTTTCCCACCCCCCGCCCTTCTTCATCCCCACTCGGCCGCCTCTGCTTCCCGCGACCACAATCTCTTGTCCGGGAAACAGTGGCTGCTTGGATTCCACACACCCAAACGGGCCAGCTCTCCGACTGCCATTTGTTGGCTGCTGGTGTTGCTTTTTTCCGCTTCCTTTAATTTCTCCCTTACCTCTCACCACCTCCCACTCCTTTCGCTCAAATACCTGGCTCCGTGTGCCATCTTTGCTTCTTCCTGATGGGCTGTGGAGCTCCGTTCAAGTGTGGAGCTGCTTCCCGGTCTGGGCTGTCACGCTGGTGGGATCCCAGGGCTTTTGTCATTTGTTTGCTTTGAATTGTTTGCTTGTTTTCTTTGCTTTTTCTTGAGTTGTGAGCCCTTTCTGGCCAGGCAGTGCTGCCTGGCAAGGAGACTATACCCCCTCGGCTTCTACATACGTGCAGAGGGATCCCTAAGGGCATTTCTTTTTTCGTTGGTTTTTTTTGTTTTTTGTTTTTTCCTTTTTTTTCTATGTTTTGGGGCACTTCTCTTGTTCCTTTTTTTTTTATTTAATTTGTTTTCTTTTCTTTTCCCTCTTTTTCCCTTTTTGTCTTTCTTCATTACTCAGTTTCTCATCTCTCTATATCTTCCTTCTCTTTCTGTTCCCTGAATACCTGGTGTTGAATACCTCTACATCTTC